AATCCCGAATATGATTGATAATATGCACCAGTGTCTGTTGGTTTATGATGGATTATTAGCGAAGCTCTTTGCAATCAATTCCATTTAAAAGCTTGGAAGTGGAATACCCTGGAAGTATATTGCATCGCGCGTCCTGATTGAAGGCTGTCCTACAGGCTAAACTAAAATTTTGATCTCGACTTGGAGTTTAACCAACATCCTCGGAGTGATTCGAACAGTTTTATTGCTCCGGTTAGGAGTCATTCACATTCTACTCCTTAGGCAATACCGAATAGGTCGTGAAGTGTTACTTCTGGCTGCCCATTTTCTTCTTAACCCTAATAGTTGATTCGACGCAGTCGATCCCAGAGTAAAATCGCATCTTCCATTCGGTTCTTCACGGATAGGACTGGCATCACTTGCTTGGTTGGTTCGCTCTAGCAAAATTTTAAGTATTTAAAGGGTAGCTTTATAAAGAATTTTCGCAAAGTGCCCCAAGTGTGATGTAAGTTATGAGGCAATAGGAAAGCCACCTTTCTGGCTTTGTGACCCTACATATGTGACCGTGTACCGTGACGAAAAACGGCAGAATGACAACCTCTTTGTGCTTGCCTCAGACACAAGCGCATCTTGCGCCGATGGGACGCCAGCCTCTGTCGGCAGGATGATGCAGACTGAGCAATTGGAAAATAAGAAGAAATCTTGCCGCGCGAAGCAGACAAACCAGGCAAACCGGAGCTAGAGGGCAGCGAAAAATTTTCCACCGGAAGAAAATTTCCACCTGACTTGACAATAACGTGTGTAGTCGATGCAACCTCTTTCCAGCCTAGCCTGGACGATGCATTTTGCTGTCTGCCGGTCCGAGTGGCTCTGTCCACTTATCTATCGGCACCTGGACGGCCCGGCCTTGCCCACCTGTCTACGCCAGCCCAGCTGCCTCGCTCCACCAGCGGTGTCCGAGGCCAGGCGCAGGTGGACAGTCTGCCTTGGGAACAGGCCGAAATGGGCAAAAGCTTTCGAGCCAACCTGTAGACCCGCTGTCTGCAGGTTGCGGATCGGACAGGCGACCAGGCCAACGGTTGGTTGTATTTGTCAGTTTATTCCGGACAGGACGACAGAAGCGTGGAGCGGGATCATGAAACGAATCAGAAAGCGTCTAGCATCAGAAGAGAATTGTTTCTAAATCAGCGATGCCTACGCCGAAGGAAAAGCGGCGATAGGGATGCCATAATATATCAACTCTTCGAAAAGGCCTAGAAAGTAGTCGATTCGCGCGTCAAGTGTAGAATAAGGTACAAGTGGAGACCGTCAAAGATTGCCATTTGCAATGCGAGCAGGCCTTGCTTACATCTTCTCTTGCCGACCGGCAGCTAAACATGCACAATGCCCAGTTTGATTGGGCAGAACGCAGAAGGCATAGAAAGCACACACACGCCTACAAGCTTAAAAACAGCCCTTAAAAGCATGAATAATGAAGGGGATAGAGACTTGCTTTTCCAAGCCCGAATTCTTTTTCCCTTGGCTCGAAAGCAACGGATAGACAGACGAGGCGAATGCAATTATTCCGGCCACATCTTGTACAGCACGATAAGAAGTATGACGCTAGAAATTGGTTTTATGTTAAAAGTGAACAAGGTGGGCGAACCGGCAGACAGGCAGACTGGTGTTCCTATCAAAATGCGTTCACCGATCGAGTATTTCTTCTCATTTGCGCCTGATCCTTCATATACAGCGCAGGAAAAAATCCTTTCCAACGAAAAGTGATTAAAACCTCAATAAAAGCTATGATCATTCCAGGTTGCATAAAGTGATGAAGTTGAATTTTCTAAAAACGAAATGAGTATGAGTAACGATATGACTTGATTACATATGCCTTTACTACCCAAATCGTTTTCTCATCCCACTTAGACTGGATTGCAGTTTCGACTATGCCCAGGTCTCATCATCACCCCTGACGAGAATGGAACCCGGGTAGGGCAGTAAAACTGCATTCCAGTCCGATCAGGATTAGAATAACTTTTGATAATTCAATGTAATTCTGAGGCCTATTTCAGTTAAGTTGATGAAGAACTGATAGTGTAATTTTCCTACAAGGATGTGAGTGAGTCTCACATTTTATTAACTTTCACAGCTTTGCTTCCCCAAAGGTGTTTTCATCCAATGCTGACTACAAATTCGGCTTCGTATGGCTCAAATCTCCGGGTTAACGAGTCAAGAAACTCGGGTTTTATTTTCGTATTAGAATAGAGTTTCGAGACTACCAGTAAATCAGTAATATGAGATGTATTCACCCTATTTCGTCTAAGGTGATGAAGGACTAATAGTAGAATTTTCCTCATATCATTGTGGGAAAATTCTACTACTAGTTCTTCATCACCTTAGACGAAATAGGGTGAATACATCTCATATTACTCGGGTTTTAATCCCACTGGGGCTGTTGATAAGACCTAGACAATGTTAGAACTTTAGTCCCAACCAGGATAAGAATACTTTTTGGGAAACAAGGCTATGTGAAATGCATTGGAAGCCTGGGACTAATTCATATCATAATGGGAAAATCCAACTACCAGTGGTTCATCACCTTAAACAAGATAGAGTGAATAAGGCTCTTATATAAGATATACCGGTAGTCTCGAAACCTAATAAGAAAAATTAAATTGTCCCTCCTTCATCGCGTCGGTGGTCTAGGGTGGCGAGAACAATTAATACAAATTTAATGACATTATCGAAGCCTACATTCTATGTCCCCCAGGATCCACTGATGGAGGATCTCACGAATTTTCTTAAAATAAGCCTATTTTGATTAATTTACTTCAAGTTAGTGTGAAATTGTTTTGTAAAGAGCTTCTTAATTCG